TCTGCAAGATGTTGTACCGAGCCACCATCCCTGGAGAGGATCTTCAGAATTTGCAGAGAGAGCTCAACAGCATGGAGCCAGAAATACTCTCAGGAAAGAGTACAGGTCTACCTATTGACCACGAAATTACCGGAAAACAGTCTACAAGTTTAGCAGTAAGTTTGGATTCATCACTCGATGAAGAGGATGATTTCGAGGAGCGGCTGTCACTCGGACACAACACACTGTCCTTGACGACTGCATGCGAAAGTAGCTCAGGAAACCCCTGTCAGCGTGGTATTAAAATATGGCAAAAGCTTGACGAGAGAGCTAAGGAATTTGTTCTTCGCATGCAGCATGAAACGAGGAAGAGCGTCGTGTAATTTTCAGAATAGCCGTTTATTTGTTTTAGTAGCGTAATCATTACTGAGTTGACTACACATTATACATTTTCTTCTTTGCAAAACATTTGTGAGGAAAAAAAAACAAAATGCGCTAGTAATCGAAACTGTGATTTTTCTGCGTGTCCTACACAGATATAAACTTGCTACGCTGACATCTTTGTGGATGGTCACGCATACACCTTCGTTAGATAGTCACGGAACGGTTTCTATTCGGCTTATTACCATCCAACCACACAATTAATGTCAAAGATGTACTATGTACTGTCGGCAGCTTCTTTTTATTCTATCGTAAGTTATTAAAGACAATATACATAACAATCTTTTTCTGGATACTACAACCTTCATCGTCGAAAAAATCGATAAGTAATGTCATATAATGAGTGTACAATAAAACGAGTATTTCTGTGTATGTCCACACTCTATTCAGTTTCATTCTCACCGAACAAGGTAGTAAATGTGTCAGTTATGTCGCTAGACAATAGCCAAATACCTTCAGTCTGACGTCCCCTCTATATATTTTGTTTCCTTCAACGGTAGAGTGCAGCGAACTACACTGATGCAGTGAACCAATTTGTTTTTTTAAAGTGGACCGAAACCGAAAGCAAAACTCGGGGGAATCCCCTGACTGCAGTTAAGCATGGACATACTTTTCTAATATTTGGCTAAGGGCCCATTTTGTGACTCTCTCTTGGTGCCTTAAATATGTTAACATGTTGATGGGAAACGTTAACGCCGATTGAGGCGATGCGAAGAAATTCCAAATTCGTAAAAAACAAGTGCAAATTTCTGAGATTAAAACCTTTCGTCCTGGCATGTGAAAAGAAATACCGACATGACATTCCAATAAAAAGGCGACCAGTCGTGAAAACATAATCGGTAAGCGACGAACCATGAGAAAGTTATAGGGGGTGAGGGTGGATATTTTTCAAGTTGTATAATTGTTCTTCGGCGAAACCTCTTGTGTGATTATTCCACGCTGTAAGAAGTTTAGATATATGTAAGCAATTGATGATCCTTTTCCCTAACAACTCGCATGTCTAACATCAGTTTCTCAGACGTGTTTACCTGATTGTGGTATTTCCGAGACTCTGCAATTACAAGCAAGCAGGTATATTAAGCAGAAAAATATAGCACGAAAAGTGTATTAAAAAGACTACTGCAACATGCAGCTACCTAAAAACAGTGAATTTTTTTAACTGATGGAAGGAACTATGCTCGACTTCCCTAGATGCTTTAACCCTTTAACTCCCAAGATCTGATAGTCAATTCTCCCCTGCAGCTACATGTTTCCTCTTAAATTAGTTACAAGAATTTGGTGTTAGATCAAGACAACAACTTCTACTTGATATGTTTGAGTATTCTCATTACCTGTTTGCTGGATAATGGATGGATATTGCAAGGAGAAGTTAGATGTTAATCACTTCTGGGAGTTAAAGGGTTAAAGAAATCTAACAAACACATCGTCATATCCAAATATAGCTCACGAGGAACCAGGACTAAAGGTTATGAACCAGGTCGTGACGTTTTCATTTGCGGAAATACGCTGAGTCAATATTATATGTCTGGAGAATCTGTTGAAGGGGAAAGAAGATTTACCAGCAAAGTTGCAAGGTAGGAAAGTAAGAAGTTGGCTTGCTTTACAAATCCCCGGGCAAAGCAGGAACCAAAAGTCGTAAAATCGACGAGACAGCCGAATTTGGTGTTCTTAGAAGGCAACTCGAAGACTAAAGCAAATCTCGAGTTTTACGCTCGCCCCTGATTATGTCTGTAAAAATTCAGTCTCTTTCGCTCAAACAAACAATCAAACATGAGCACAAGCTAAAAGGGTAAGGACAGTTGAACCTGCTAAGATCAATATTTGTCAGTCTAGCACACACTCAAGCTTGCAACGAAGAAACCGAAATAAACAGAATGCGAATTTATCCCGGCCGCGGCTTCTCTTTATCAGCAAGAACAGGGTCCTAAAGGAATATAGAAATTTCTTTCATCACGAAAAATTATCCAGTGATGACGTGAATCTAGTGCCTCTCTTAGAAAATATTCGTTCATGCTGTCGCAAAGCCATGGTTTCCGACTTCAAATAACTAATCGGCAGGCGGAAGTTTATATGTTGGAGTCATCAATTCATGAATTCTGTTCAACGCTTGCGACAACCGCAGTTCACATCTTTCGACAATGAAACGTTAACGTTATCATAGGTGTTTTTCCTTCTGAGTGAACCAGGAAATTTATATGTAATTAAGCTTAGCTTGACGAACTTCATTTGCAATTTAATCACTGAAGCAAGTAATCAGTTGAAACACATTTTTACTTTACACTTTCGCTTTAAAATTTCATTTTCGTTCGAACTGGTTGGATTTCAAAATTGTAGAATTCCGAATACAAATTGCAAGAGAGAGAGAGAGAGAGAGAGAGAGATATTTTATTTGTCACAACAAGAGTTGATCACTTATCAGAAAAACCCTTATTTAAAAGATGATGTATAGAATTAATTAATCATGTCCGGTGAGAGTTCGATCGAGCGCGTTTAACCCTGTTAGAACTCGTCATTCCTCAAAAACTCATATTTGTTAAATGTTTAAGAGTTAAACCTTCGCTATAATGAACAAGAAAATCCAATAAGAAACGATTTTTAAGCAAGCGTAATAGCTTGATGGTCGGTGAAGGAAACCGGAAGCGATGACACTGCAGGAATTTTTTTTTCCTGACAATGACGCTGCAAATTCTGTAGGCCGAAGATATGAAATACACAGCAGGACAAAAAAGTTAGCTTTCTTGCATGGCACATCCTGATTGGTTCCGCCAAATATCTCACAACGTTTACAACGTTGGGGTGTGCGCACTCCGATTGTCTTGAATTGT